ACACATATACTAGGTATGCATATATATACACACATATACATAGACGTATATATGTGTACGTATATGTGTGTATATATATGTATGTATATATGTGTATATATACACACAGAGTCTCATTTTGTCACCCTCGGTAGAGTGCTATGGTGTCATAGCTCACAGCAACCTCAAACTCCTGCGCTTAAGGGATCCTATTGCCTCAGCCTCCCAAGTACTTGGGACTACAGGTGCCCACCACAACACCCAGCTATTTTTAGAGATGATATCTCACTCTTACTCAGACTGATCTCAAATTCCTGAGCTCAAGCAACCTATCTACCTCAGCCTCCCAGACTGCTGGGATTATAGGCATGAGCCACCATGCCCAGCCTAATAAATACTTTTTAAATGAATGAAAAACCTATTTTTTCTCTTCTTGCCAGTTCAGTCACAGGCTCTTTTTGATGTTTTTTTAAAGCACCTCCAGAGAAGTCTCAAACATTCAAGCAGAGGCTATTACATAGTCACAGAATCCTTTTAGCCATGTTATTTCCTATAAAGTATATCCTATAGCAAAAAAGATGAATGTATGCTGATTTCACATTTAAACGTGCTACACAAGGGAGGAAATGAACGGAACAGAAGGTCTGTATCCACCCCTTGCTGTTATTATTCTACTGGTAGGCGCCCAGAGGAAGACAAACTTTATTACTTCTGGATTTCAAGACTCTGTATCTGACTTTTTTAAGGGCTCAAGACTCCCTATGAGAACCACCGTAGTAATGAAAGCATTAAGAACCTTAAAATTAGATACTACTTTCATCATCATTTGCCTGCCTTTCATATCCTTTCCTAAATTCTAAGTCTTTCACTAATGCATAAAGCCAGCTTATATTTTCTTCTTTGTTGCAAAAATATCCCAACGACTTCTCTGCCTTTGTATTTTGTGCAGATATCCTACCCGGTACCATAAGAAATGCAAATTTATAAGGGAAGATATTTAAGTATTTTAATGGTTACTTTTTAAAAAATAATGAATTCTGTTTCTTCCACATATAAATCTTTGGTCAGCATTAAAAGCTGCTCTACTTCCTAGTTAAAAATATTGATGAAAGGTTTTGTTTGTTGCCAGATTCTGCAAAGGATGACAATGTCACAAAAGATGATGAAGTTACAGATCATTCTGCGTGTGACCAAGATCACCCCAGTGGTAAGTTAGGAGAGCCTCTATCAGCTTTCCCAAACTTCAGGGGAATAATACATTCAAGATTTTTTGTGAGTTTTTCTGGAAAATAGTAGAATTTTTATAATATTTTATTAGCATTAAATACCAGCAGATTGGCAGCTGCCCTCTTTAGATGGGCCTTTTGATCTCCACAATCCTTGTTACTTTTTTTGGTACCAGCCTGGCTCAGTTGATTGTGAATATTGCTACTTGCCTAACTTCTATAAGCATTGGGTTTGCAGCTATTGAAATGAATATATAATAACAAAAAGAACAAGTATTCTCTTTGGAGAATATGAAGAATAAATCTAGGAGATTAAATGTACATATGCTTAGAATACCAAGAAGAAGGAATAGAACAAACAGAAATAAGCAATCTTTAGGAAAATAATAGGAAAAAAGTTTTCCTAGTGCAAACAAATTCTCTAGCTCAAAGCATGAGAACACATGTTATGGTTATAAGCAAAGATAATGAGAACTCAAATAAGAACAGCTGCATGGACTGTAAGTAGTAAATAAAGTCAAAATCACCAGAATCTGATTAGCCTTAGCCACCTTCTTCTATAACCCTAAAGAATATAAGAAAATAGGGTAACATTTCCAGAGCTCTAAAAGATATAATTTCTGTATTTAGTGAAGTTATTATTCATGTATGAGGGCAAAAGTAACATCTCCTCAGGAATACAAAGATTAAGAAAGTATGCCCCCCAAGTATCCTTTATGAATAAACTAATAGAAGGCCTGAGGCAAAAATATATATATAAAAAGAGAGGCAAAATTCAAGACTGAGAAAGGCACAGTTGGAAGGAACTATTAGGGAAGAGACCAAGGGAATGTATAAAAATGTTAAAATAATAATTTTGACATAATTCAAAATTAAGGTCGAGTGTCAACATATCTCACCTAAATATCTGTTTTTGACTTTGAAATTTATAGTATTTCTTGTTTAAAAATCAAAAAGTAAAAAGTGGGACCAGTTTTCCAATGAAAATCTAAATAATTTAGGCCATTTCTCTCACTGAAAACAACTGGAGAAAATATTTACATTATACACACTACATATATTATTTGATTATGTTATATCATATATTAATATAATATGACATATTCTTAAATAGTATATGTGGGGAAAGAAAGAGAGAGTCTGTTTAAACCATCAGTGAGCTAGTAAGGTCCTGAAGAACTATCAAGCTAAGTTCTGGGGGAAGATGAATCTCCAATATGTGAGCACAAAATATGAAACTATTTTTACCTGGTAGCATATGCTGATTCTACAAAAGATATCTGGAGCCTCATTACTAAGAAAGGCAGGGGCCTCTGATAATCCCCCTACGTTTTGGATAGAAACCCCAAAAGTACATAGCCTAGTAGACAAAATGAACCAGCAACAGATCAGCCTTCTGAGACCCTGATGCCCAGCTTTGAATCATCTTAATCCCTGAATTAAATTAAGACAAGCCCAGATTGCTAGTTCCCCCAGGCATCAAAGAGAAACAAATACACAACATTTACTAGAAGCAAAAAGGAGTGCTTCAAAATATTTATATAAGTAATTTGGAAAATATAATCTCCAGCACACAAATATAAAAAGTAGCCAGGAAAAAAGGAGGAAACAACATAACATGAAAAACAAAACGAAGAAACAAATGAAGGAAGCCCAGAGAAGCTGAAAATATTAGAGTTATAAACACAAAACATAAAATTACTATGCTGAGTTTGTACAAGAGGATAAAGGTTGAAAATTTAGCTGAGAACTGGAAATTCAAAACAAAAACAAGTTTTTAAAGGAAAGAAAATGTCAAAGTAAAAGATGCTATACTGAAATCAAAATTTCAATGATAGATTTATGATTTAACAGCATATTGGACACAGGTAAAAGAGAATTTTTGAACTAGAAGAATATATTCAAAACAAAAATGAAAACAGAAGAGAATGAAAGGAAAAAGAAAATATAATGAAGATCTAATTACAAAGTCTGTCATAAAATAACTGGTCCCCGACAGGAAAGAGAAAGAGAGAACTGGGCAGAAGCAATGTTTGAAAAAACTCTGGTGAAAAATTTTCTGCAGTGATGAAAAACAGGAGGCCAAATGTTCCAAAATCCCTTTGAACTTCAAGCAGATTAAATAAAAATAAATCCACAACAAGGTTCATCACAGTAAAACTTTGCTAAAAGCCAAAAATAAATTGGACATCTAAAAACTAACCCACAAACACTTGGACTGATAACTAATTTCTCAATAGATATAATGGAAATAAAAAAATAGTACAACAAAATAGCTATAAATCAAGAATTCTAAACCAAGGAGGAAAATTATGTTTCAAAAATAACAGTTAATTAAGGAAATTTTGGAGCAACAACAACAAAAAGCACCACTAGAAAAAAGTTCATCGTCAGAGAATTCTGGTGCGTTCTGTAGGTAGAAAGATGTTGATTCAGGATAGAAGATCAACGATAAAGGAAGAAGTTAAGAACAAGGTAAGTGGTAATTATTGGATAAGTCTAAATGAATACTGCTGGTATAAATCAGTAACAATAATGTCCTGTGGGAGTTAAGTTACATATAATGCTAAAATATACCACCATAGTGGCATTTATTACAATGTGGTAAATTAAGTCAAAGTTCTGTAATGTTTTTCTGTTAACATGGAAAGTAAACATACCAATTAATGTCGAAATTTTAAAAGTCTCGGTGATCCCTTAGAATCAGGAAATGAGGTGAGTCCTATGCCTGCACCAGCTGACTGCAGTCAGAGAGTTTCTAGGCCTTGTTACAGAGAAGAAGAACCCAGGTAGAGTCCAATGAACTCTTCAAGATGAGAGAGACAGAGGTGAGAATCCTGGGAGGTCAAGGTGTCTAAAGTTTACAGCAGAAATTTCTGCAGAGGAGAGAGCTCCCCAGAAGGAATCCCTCAAGTCTTCAGCTAAGTATTGATGACTAGGTAAGAACACTAAAAGATCTGAGGGAATAATACTGGAGTTTGTACAAGGCTGAAATGAGTGCCTATATCCCTCCAGCCAGACCAGAGAACCTGAAAATTCAAACAAAACTCAAAAGGGTTTTGCCTCAGTAGTGAAGCAAAAAAAGACAGTAGGCCAAATGCCATTCTTGTCCTCCCCAGGATGGCTTAAAAGTGAGACTTGAGAGGATCCAAATAGTTCTGAGTAACTTAACTGCATCCCAGAATGAAGCTGGAGAATATTTATAGGAAGGTAAATATATCTCTCACTCAACCAAAATTTCCAGCCCTGTAAAGAAGTATTGGAAGATGGTTCTCCATACATCTTTCATGTCTCTTATATCTTGTGAGCAGAAGCACTGCTGGTACCCTTGAAAAGCATCGTGTCCCTCCAGATCAAAGAACAGACATACAGACATACTTATTACCCATTACATTATAAAAGATTCAGGCACTCTTGACATTCTCTAGACCTCAGGATTCCTCCCCTGTCACAGAAGCTGCTGAGTGTGCAAGAATCACCTCCGTCCACTTGATGTTGTCATATGTCAACTAGGGTTCAGGGAACAGGTACTCTGGTCATCACTGTTGTTCCCCATCTTGGACCCAGGAGTCTATGTCTTTTGTCAGCACCTATTTAACTGTGGCAAGCTAACTTCTTAATCTGCAAGTAAAGTAAAATTTCAGACCCTTCTCAATTCTTGACAAGAAGTGGGAAAGTATGGTCCATAGGAAAAGAAAAGTCGATTAATAGAAATCAATTTGGAAATGGCAAAAATGACATCATTAATATGAAAGTGCATGTCAAAATTTTTATAACTGTATTCTACATGTTCAAAAAGGTAGAATAAGAATTCACCCTGTTGATTTGAAAGTCTAGGTAGTGATTCCTATGACAGTCATGATGTTGATTGAACTTTAGTGACTGGGGAGGAGCAACTGCATGGGAGGGGGGCATGTGGGGCTTTCAGTCTGGATGGTAACTATAAAAATGTGTGGGTTTTTCATCTTTGGTTATGGTTATTTAATTCAGCTCTAAATTTTAGTATGGTTTCCTATATATACATTGCAAATATATATATTTTTTGAGATAAAATCTTATTTTGTTGCCCTCAGTAGAGTGCTATGATATCATAGCTCGCAGCAACCTCAAACTCTTGGGCTCAAGTGATCCTCTTGCCTCAGCCTCCCAAGTAGATGGAACTACAGGCACACACCCCAACACCCAGTGAATTTTAGAGACAGGGTCTTGCTCTTGCTCAGGCGGGTCTCAAACTCCAGAGCTCAGGCAATCCACCCACCTTGGCCTCCCAGTGCTAGGATTATAGGCATGAGCCTCTGATCCCAGCCTATACATTCTGCAATTTTATGAAATGGTTAAAATAGAAAGAGAAAAAGAGAAAGAGGCAGGAGGAGGAGGAGAAGGAGGAGGAGAAGAGGAAGGAAGGAAGGAAGGAAGGAAGGAAGGAAGGAAGGAAGGAAGGAAGGAAGGAAGGAAGGAAATTAAGAAAGGCAGTAAAGAGAGAAGAAGGCAAGGAACTATCAATCTTATAAACAAGATTATGGTAAAGCAGGAACAGTTGTACACAAGGCTGACTTCCATAAAGACAGTGCAAAAACTAATGTTATGGATCCCGGCAATGTAAGTGAGCCTTCAGAATGTCTTCAAAAAATTGTACGATAATCACAAAAAGAATTAGATCACTGTGGAATTAAAGGAAGATAACTTACTTTGTAAATTAAAAAAAAAGATTGTATCAAACATGAAAGTATATTCAGCAATGCAAGTAATAATTTTTTTAAAAACCTAATAGTGTAACAAACACAATGTATCAAATAAGATGACAGAAACACAAGCAAATAGTTATGACAATAAGTATAATTAAAAATGTGATTAGGACTATAGTCCTGCTATAGGAATAGACAGGCTGACCAATAAAACAGCAAGAAGAGTTTAGAATAGACCCAACCCACTAAGACTGAGTTAAATTCAATAAAAAGGTAAAGATTTAAAAACATAAAGT